AGTCGCTTAGTGTTAGGCTGCATTGGCATACTACTTACATAGTACGCACTTAGCATTCGTAGCTAAAATTGCTGGGGCCTTAGGATGCAAGCTGGGAACTTTCACCTAGGTAAGCTGAACTTGGAAGGCCCTGAGACCGGGACATAAGAAAGATATGGTCAGCTGAAACTCAACAAGATAAGAGCAGTTAACAGCCCACCTAGAGACAAAAAGAATCCAATGAGGACCAAGACCACCCCAGACCATAAATTACCATTGAACCAGCTGATGCATGCGAGGCACATGAAGAATGTGTGAGATTTGTAAGGGTATCATCGCCCACAAAGGTCCTTGTTCTTGGTTCCTCTCCAGAGGCAGCTGTCCATGTTGCTGTACCACTCTTTTTTTTTTTTTTTTTCCTCCTCCTTTGGATTACTGCCTGAGACTCTGCTATAGGAAACATAGGGTGAAGAAACCTCTTTAACACAGAAGGTGGGGCACCTTTTATGTTTTGGGTTTCCCCCCCCCCCCCCCTTTTTTTTTTTTAAGCTGAGTTTGAAATGTACCAAGGTGGGGGTGGGGTTGTTGTTTTAAAGATTTAGCAGAGTATTTTCCCCCAATTTTGCCCTCTTCTGGTCTCTTTAGATCAATGATAGATAGAGTAGTAAGGTAAGCAACAATTACATTCATTAGCCCTTGATTTCAGTTCGTACATTGCCTTTAGCAAAAGTTCTGATCTATCCTACCACACCTGTAAGACAAGCTGCAAAACCCATTCTAGAAACAAAAGTTAAACTAATAGCCAGTACACAAGACAGCTACTGCACTCTTTTCCCCCTCCCCTTCCTGTCCTCAGTTGCCTTTAAAGTACCTACTTTTAGGATCCGAGACATATGCATCTCTTTAAAATGTGTGGTTTTGTTGTAAAACTTTGCATTTCAGAAGAATTGTGAAGCCTCTTCAGGGAAACAAGGGCCACAGAACATAGAGGTGAAATTACAAATGACAAGTCTCACACACACACCCCTCTTGGATTTTCTGCCCTGCCTAGATTTTCTTTTCCCCATTAGATGAATTAGAAAGCGTAACGCTCCACGTTCTGCTCTTATATGCACTACTCTGATTAGACAGGAAATCCATTACAAGTAAGAATTTTGTATTCTGTTCAGAACTGTCCAGGCAGTATCTGGATCAACTCTCCAAGGCCCAGTTTCTAAAACAGGATCGGAGACGTGAACTCCATGGAAATAGGTACACCTCATGCAAATTAAAAAGTGTAAGTTTAGTAAGTACTGCATCTCCAACAACAACAACAACAAAAAACACAACCCCAAAACAACCACACACACACACAAAAAAAAAAAACCTGCAATTCTCAGGAAGCCCTTTATTAAGTCAAGGCATTAAAGGAGAAACTACTGTTATTCACCATGCTTCTCGTCTTGAGGTGGTTCATACTGAGCCAGCTGTGGATTTAAAGAGAGGAATTTAGTTAGCTGCAACATTTCAGACACTTTTTACATTAAGAAATGTAGGAAAACATTTGGTCTGGAAGCGTTCAATTTACTTTGTGCATTTTAATCCATCATTGGTATTTATGCAATTCCATTTTCAAGACAGGCAACAAAGTAACCCTTCCCTCAAAACATCAATTTGTCATGTTGTATAATCATGCAGTTATAACAAGGGTCATCTTTAAATGCACTTCCAAGCATCTAAGTCTTGTTTCTTGTTCTAGGTCTCATTAAGTACTTTTCATCTCAAATTGCAGCTGATAATGATCAATGCCTTATAAGCTTTGATTTCACTGAAATATGATTAAATGAAGCAGTGATTCTCATAGCAACAGTACCCAAACTTACATTTCCTGTAATCATTCTAGCTTTCATTATCCCTTCTGGAGAGTATGGCCTAGGCAACTATGCACTAAAGTTATTTCCAAATAAGCATATTTACTTATGTAAATATATACATATATACAAGGTGTTTACTTGACCTCAGTTACATTAAAGATAAGCTCGAGCTTCAAAAACAGTTCAAGCATTAGGACTGAGTCTCTGAAATATGTCAGTTCAGTTTCCTTAATTAAGATTCTTCCCTTCTGCAAATTGCAGAGCAGGTTAAAAATAAACAAAGTACGTTAAAAAAAAAAAATACCCATGTGTTTCTCATAGTAATACTAAGTTACAGCAATCACTATGCTGCTAACAAGAACCACTAAAATAGCATTTTTGCCTTCTTGTAGATTTTACCACAAAAGATGGCCAGTACCCAATCCCCAAATCAGTTTTGTTCCTACAAAAAGCCTAACTATTGACTTCCTGCCCCTACCCCACCCAAATACCTGACATTCTGACCGACAAATGTAAGGAAAAGAAGAGGTCTTCACAGATGAATGCAACAGAACACCACCTATTTGGACATGATTCAAGTTACGAATAAATACACAGTTAAAGGCATGTATTTTATGCTAGAGAACTGCTAAAATATATATATATATAAAAGCTAAACAGTAGTGTTCTCCCTGCATTCTGTCCCTGTGAACTTCTACAGTATGTCACAATGACAGGCAGAAGACGGTAGGGGAAAGAATGGAAAAACACAAAAACATTAGTACTGAAAAATGTGTAAAGTAAGAGTTATCATTTGAAGGCTGAATAAGGTGAAAGCACAAAAAAAACCCCATGATTATGGAAAGCCTTACTTTCCTGCAACAAGTTTTGACCTCTAAGTGTTTTTTAAACAAAGACTCAGGCACCCTGCTTTCATATGTCTACTTAGTATCGGTTGCATTTTTAAGTCAGCTACGCTGAGTGTATTGCCGGTCTATTGCTACTGTCCCTAAAATTCTGCTCTTTGCCATATTTTCTAGTAAGAAACAACAGATGTAGCTGTAAGGACGCACAGTGAGTAACAGAGAAGGAGGAGTGTTACAAGGACAGGAAGAGGGCACTCCAGATGAGAAATACAAAGGGGTAATGCCCAAGAATCCCTTCTCCCAGAACTAAGATGGGGTAGTTGTCTCCCAGTAAAAAAACTCATAGGGATCTTCACATGTAACAACAGCCATTCTCTTCCAACAAATGCACGGAAGCCTGTAGCAGCACACAAGCTACTAGCTTATTATGGTTCTCAAAAGTTTCCTTCTTCAGTGTTGTCAGGTTTCCAGTCAATGCCCTCTGGTAAGGGGAAGTTGTTCACATCTCAGAGCTGTTTCAGACAGCCTGTAGACCCATTAAAGAATGGCTCTGCCTTAATTAGCTCTTCAGACCCGCTGTTGTTGCTGACAGAGGAATACCAGGGTCGTTTTAGCTGAAAAGTGCAAATTACTGTTCGAAGTGGATATGAGTGCCTCCACTGGTAACATTCTGTCATGTGCAAGTCTGTGCCAGGTCACAGAAACTAATATATAATACTCCTCCTTCAGTTTGCCTTTGGAAAGCGCCTTTATAGTAGATACATTAGCTTTTTCTTTTTCAAAACTCATGTGGAAACATGAGCTACATAATATCACACAACTTAAACACATACAGACAGGGCTGAATGAAGACATGGGATTAGCCTTGCGAACATAGACTTTCACTAAATAAATAAAATCCCTAGTTCAGCAATACTATTCAGTGTTATAGAATATGAGAAGTATCCCATCCAAAAAAAAAAAAAATCTTTACTACGATGAATTCTATCAGCACTCCGCAGCCACGAGGCTAAACAATACAACAACACTTACCAGCTACTCTAACAGAAAGAAGTTAGCTGTATTCTAAGTATTAAGGTATTCTTCTTGTAGCGTGACATGGAACTACTGAGGAACAGTAAGTAGACTGTTACCTTGGTTTTCAGTTTTTTATTTTCTTCCAACACAGCTTCGTATTTTTCTTTCATCTCTGCCACTTCCAAGCGAAGTGCCTCTATTTCTGGATTCTCGGGAGCTGAAGCTCCTAGATGATGCTTCAGAAAGCTGATATTTAGTTGTTAAGTATTTCTTCAGTTAGATAGCATAACCACATTTTAGTTTTAACAGTTATGATGAAGTTAGTACTGCAATACATGTGACCAAAACTGCATTAAACCACTTAACATTACTGTAGTGCTTTTCATCCTACAGGATGAAGTTATAAAAATAAGAAAGCTTTTCAAGTTCAGTGGTATATTCCTAAAAAACCCAAAACAAAACAAAAAAACCCACCAACCAGAAAACACCATCAAACAACACATCAGTACATACAGGACATACTCGTGTTTTACTGCATCCCCCTCTTCTTTTCCTGTCTTAAACGCAGAAGTCTTGAAGAGTTAAAAGGAATAACTGAAAAAACAAAAGGAATAGCCAAAAAGGGAGGCTGCTTACAAACAGCAAGAAACAGATGTTATTTTTTTTCCCCTCTTGTATTATTAAAAGAAAAAAAAAAAGGAAGTGTGAAGAAGCCAATTTCAGAAGCCACAGATACTGTAAGTTCTCAAATCTAATGCTGCAGATCTATGACATTCTGTAATGGCCTATAACTTAACTTCATAATTGCTGACATACTGATAGCACAGTCCTCTTGCATCCCCTCAGACTTTCTGTTAGTCGTAAGAATGCAATTATTAGCTAAAATGCATCCATAAAAGTCACGTTCTCAACGTAAGTCTTCTAAATGAGCCTCTCCAGTTCACCTATGAGTCAGAAGCAGGACTGCTGTTTCGTGTCAAGTGTCTATGAACAATTCACAGACGAGAAAAAGGATACTCCAGTGCACTATTTGGTTTCTCTGGCTCTTCATATAAGGCTACCAACACTGCAAACAGAAAATATTCAGCAATTGCAGGAAGCGCATGCAACTCTTAGGTTTTTAAAGCATGTACCAACAGTCAGAAGGCACACAAGTTGTGTGCCACATTTATAGCACATTTTCCCGTTTAACAAGATTTTCACCTATATACTTCAACGTAAAGAACAGGGAACAGAGCATCCCACCCAGTAATAGCCAGACAGAGGTTTGTTGATCCCCTGACCACAGTCTTTGGCTATTCTAGCACACAACACAAAACAGCCTGGACAGTTTTTACATATTCCACACGTTATCCTAGTATTGTCTTTCATCAGCAAAATTGAAATTCTAACTATTTTTAGACTCACCCTTCATAAACCATTACTTCCACTTAAGCTGCATCTTTGAACTGCGGGACAACATCAGCACTTCAGTAACTTACAGCATAAAAGCAAACCTCCATTGAACACCTACAGCTACCGTCAGAGCGGGTGACACTGATAATCTTTATGGATGGGGGCTCTAGCAGCCAACAGAGTACCAGAGAGGTCAGGCACAAGCAGCAGTACCCTGACAGCTTAAATAAAACTAGCCATACACATACCAACTCCATGTCTCGACAACTCACTTACATGAATATTCAGAAATTTCCCAAACTTAACCCCCTCCCCCTCTTCACAGGGTCACACACATGGCTCCCATACTGGGAGATGTCCTTCTCCCAGTTTCAGATATCCAAACTACACGTCCAAGTTGGCTTTAAGCTAAGCGCCTAAGTTAAAAACTAAATCAGGAAACCACGCTGCTTGGAAGACTTGTTTTGCAACCCCACAGGATGCTTAGTATTGCAACAGAAAGAAATCAAATAGTACCCACACACCAGGCCAAGAGTCTTAGCACAGCACGTATTCGCATGACATCCTAGATCTGCCGCTCGCTCTTTAAACAGCATATTCTTCCAGCAG